GTCGGACCGTAACATACCATAGTATCGCGCGTTCGGGTCGCGCACTCAGCGATGAGCGACTTCTCCTCCCACCTCACCGCGACCGACCCCGCTCCATTCGTCGGACCGTAACATACCATAGTATCGCGCGTTCGGTTTGTCATCGTCGTAACTATTAAAATATTTGTCCAAACGATGTATTGTGAAGGACAAAATTTATCTCCTTTAAATACCAAAAGCGATAAAAGTATTCATTTTGATAAGGATCCATTTATTACTACCAAATGTGCATTAGAAATAAATTATCAATTTTTATTGTATTTATGGTTCACTATTTTGACAATAATGGCTTACTCATAAAAGATAGATATATATGGTGTCGCAGAATTTTTTGTAGGACTATTTAAGATAAATATTTTCACCATACATTATATACATGTAGCACTAACTGTTTTTGCAGCACACGCCTGAATAGCTCGCAGATTGCAGAATTTTTTCAGACTTAAATGACATTTATCGTTATATTTTGGACAATTCACACAATATCTTTATAAATTATAGCCTATGTGTTATTCTGATCTATAAGCTACATTACTGTAAAGTTTCATTAAAATCCGTTTAGTAGTTTTTGCGTGAAAGAGGAACAAACATCCATCCATACATCCATCCAAACAAACTTTCGCCTTTATAATATTAGTAAGGATAAGGATTCTAGATGATGTAATGGAAGGTGACTTCAGACGTATCTCTGAAGTCATTTTTCAACTTGACGACTCTGTATATATCAATACAGGGAAAAGCAGCCCTTGCTGAGTTTCTTGCCGGTTCTTCTCAGTACAAGGTCTCACGCCGTAGTTTTGCGAACCGATGGCGTAGCTTCTTGACCTTCACAAGTGCTTGTAACAGCCTAGACTGAATAAATGACATTTCATTTCATTTCATTATGCTACCGCGGTCCTCAGGGGCCGTTTAAGAATTATTTAAGCAGATTTATTACAATTATTTACTCCCTTCTCCCCCTCGTCAGCAAAAGTAAGCAAAGGTCTCACCCCTCCCCCCGTCCTTACGTAAACATTGATACCTATATGCATTTTTCCTTTAATGTATTCTGTTTTTTTTTATTGATTCATGAGCTTTCATGAGCAGCAGTACTTAAAAAGGCTTAATCGATGATGCTGACGTAATCACCATCTCTACCCCCCCCCCCCCCCATGTCATTAACAATAAGCAAAGCAAAGACCCCCTCTGTCCCCCTTTATTGCTTACGTAATACTTGAATAGTCCCGCACAGACCGCGTCGAAATTCTTCTAGCCATATCCTATTGTTTTTTTTTGGGTTCCGGTGGTTATTCTCCGGAGAGTTACCAAAGAACATTTATTTGAATCAGATCATTTAGATGGTTTAGCTTCTTCGCATATGGATGTTTGTTTTTCGCTATTTGATACGAAAAACATAGGAGACTTTCATAAGTTACATTTTATTATGTAATTTACATTGGGGTAAGTTAGTATTGTATTGTTTTTTTTGTAATAGGTCATTTGATAATTTCGGGATAGAGATATGTAAATTTAGATAGAGTGTAGTTTTAGGAATGGAGTTTATAGTGTCTGTTCAAGTTCATATAGCTCTTTTATAAGAAGCAAGATGGCGCTGTAGCAATTGTTACTCGCACTATGGTTTAAGTTCCGAAGTTTCACATACTAACAACTTTAGTTCGTTATTTGGTTAATAGATGTCACGTTAAGTCCTTGTAATCGCGGTATAGATGCTGCAGTGTTTTTCTATAAGTAGTTTCCTATATGGATAGATATAAGATCAAGGATTCAGTACCAGTTCAAGATTCTGTTTGATTTGTTATGGTTTTTAAGAATACATTAGTTCAAGTACGAAGTTCTATCATTTCAACGAATCCCAATTCGCCAAGTACTTTTATTGACCCTTGGTCCCAAACAGTGTCAGTTATTAGCTGTTATTATATTATACTAGCAAACCAGGCGAACTCCGTTTCGCCACCAGATGGCTTCGTTTTATGTAACATTTCGTTTGGTGATTAAAAAAGATTTTTTTTTTAAATTTTTCCTGAATTTTCTTTGCTATAAACCTCACGGAGCCCGAGACCTTTCCAACGAATGCAAAACCGTGGAAATCGGTTCGTGCGTTCTGGAGTTATAGCGTCAGGAAGGAAAACCCGACTTATTTTTATATAGTAGATTAGCAAACTTGTGAACTAAATGTTCACCAAAAAGTATTTAATTAATTGAGAACTTCGGAGATTTTGTGTGGTTTCGTTTGAAATAGAATTCACGTGATTTCTCGAAAACCGGAAGTGCTACGTTACTCAAATCCGGTCTGTAGTCTTATCAGACTATTCTTAACTTATAACTTAAACATTCTCTTTATCTATCTCTTACGGTTTGGCCGCTGAAACAGCACCACGGACGGACGGACTTGTCTAATAGATAAGAGATGCGATAATGACTTTGTTTGTTACGTTTTCACGCCTAAACCACTAAATAGATTATCATAAATTTTGGTATACAAATAGATGGGACCTTGTGAGACAGTTATAGTACGCTAACTATAGTCGCCTATAGGCAACTTTATTTCACGAAAAACTATAGGGGATGGAGTTAGTGAAGGGTAAATTTTGTATGAAACTTTTTTTAGCGCACACAGGTGAATTAAAAGTAATTTATGAACAAAATTGACAAAAACAAAGCTACTCCGATGCAAAAATAAATAGTAACTTAAGTTAGGAACAAGACATATGGCGCCATCTATTAATATGATCTGTCATACGTTTGCTACTTTTCATTCACTGAACTTCTCTTAAACGACTGGACCGATTTTGATGAAATTTTTTGTGTGTGTTCAAGGGGATCTGAGAATGGTTTAGATTCACAATTTTGTCCGCTGGACAACCCCTATTTTTTTAGGGCGGTACGAAGTTCGCTGGGTCAGCTAGTATTATATAGTATCGGTTGCAAGTGAAATGAAATGAAAAGTCATTTATTCTGTCTAGGCTGTTACAAGCACTTGTGAAGGTCAAGAAGCTACGCTATCGGTTCGCAAAACTACGGCGGGAGACCTTGTACTGAGAAGAACCGGCAAGAAACTCAGCAAGAGCTGCTTTTTTCTCCCTGTATTGTTATATACAGAGTCGTCAAGTTGAAAAATGACTTCAGAGATACTTGTGAAGTCACCTTCCATTACATTATTTAGGATATAGATATATAGTTGCAATAAATTTTATATTTAGTATATAGGAAGCGGCATTAGATAGGTACCATATTACTGTTTCAAAAACTGACTCATACCCATCAAATAAGAAATTACAAGAAACACTATGTCCATGCATTTCGATCATTTAGATAATCATTAACTTTATAATAGCCCTTATTCATAAGAGTATTCTTAATCTGAGTGTAGTGTATAGTGACCTGCAGCAGGAAGGCGGCGGGCCCCTGGTGTCCTAACGGACCGCGTCGAAATTCTTCTAGCCATATACTATTGGCTTCTTTTTTTGGGTTCCGGTGGTTATTTTCCGGAGAGTTTCCAAAGAACATTTTTTTGAATCAGATTATTTAGGTGGTTTAGCTTCTCAGCATATGGATGTTTGTTTTTCGCTATTTGTTACCAAAAACATAGGAGACTTTCAAAGTTACATTTTATTATGTAATTTACATTGGGGTAAGTTAGTATTGTATTGTTGTTTTTTTGTAATAGGTCATTTGATAATTTCGGGATAGAGTTATGTTAATTTAGATAGAGTGTAGTTTTAGGAATGGAGTTTATAGTGTCAGTTATTAGCTGTTATTATATTATATACTACTAGCTGACCCAGCGAACTTCGTACTGCCCTAAACACACTCACAGAAGAATCTTTTGTGAGTGTGTATGTCACTGAGCTTCTCTTAAACGACTGGACCGATTTCGATGAAATTTTTTGTGTGTGTTCAAGGGGATCTGAGAATGGTTTAGATTCACAATTTTGTCCGCTGGACAATGTTTTTTTAATTAATTTTTAATTTATTAGCAGTTGTTGATTTTGGAACGTTTTACATCGGATTCGACAGACGGCGCTACCATACTAGACAGGACAACGTCTGTCGGGTCCGCTAGTTATATATATAAAGATTGGTTGCAAGTGTACTGTGACGACCTCCGTGGCCGAGTGGTTTCATGGCGTCGCCGACTCGAGAGGTCCCGGGTTCGAATCCCGGTGGGGGCAGATGTTTGTGTGATGAATACGAGCATTTGTACTCCAGTCATGGATGTTTAATATGTTCATTTTCTATTAAAATATATATGTACAGTATATGTATTGTATCCGTTACCCTAGTATCCCATAACACAAGCCTTTACAGTGCTTACTTTGGGGCTAGGCTAATTGGTGTGAGTGTTGGAAATATTTATATTTATTGACGTGACAACGTCTTAAATTAGGTTGCGGCTGGGAGTCACTTATGAAAAAGTGTAACGCTCGGTAACGTTAGGATGAGTCTCGTAGCATGCTGGAACCCCGTAGCCGTGTAGCAAGTTTGCTACGAATCGTCGTAGCGTGGTTGCATGCTACGATGGTATTCACAAGCACAATGCATTGTAATATGTTTTTTTGACGTATTATATATATTTCTATAGTTAAAATTTGTGCAATTCTTATTTTCATTCAATTCCTTGTTCCTATTGTGCAATTTAATTATATTCATATCAATAAATATTCTACCGAGAAAAAGACGTTGTCACGTAAAATCTTCGCCCGTAAAACCGACTTTACAGGCAACCATTTTTTAACTTTTTAATATAGCTTACTTAACTGGAAGCGTTCGTCACAATTTAAATACGGATAATTATCGCAAAAAATATACTAAGAGTTATCATAAACGCCAAATCGGTGTTGGTTCTTAGGCCAAATTTAACATTGTCCTTTAGATAGAGTGTAGTTTTAGGAATGGAGTTTATAGTGTCAGTTATTAGCTGTTATTATATAGTATCGGTTGCAAGTGTAGTGTACACTGACCTGCAGCAGGAAGGCGGCGGGCCCCTGGTGTCCCCGCGGCGTGGCGGCGGAGGGCTGGGGCAGCGCCTGCAGCAGCTCCGCGCCCGTGGCGGCGCATGCGCGGTGCGCGCGCAGGTCCTCGCGCCGGACGCGAGACACTTCCAGCATATCGCCCAGCTGCTCGCCGGCGCGGCGCAGGCGGGAGGCGTGTCGCTGCGCGTGCGCAACGTGCGAGTCGACGGCGGCAGTATACCCGGGCCCGTAGGCGCGGTGCGCGTGCCCCGTCAGCGTCGCCACCGTGTATAGGTGTGGCGAGCGCTCCTGGCTAGCCTGAACGCGCATCTGTACGGACGTTGTGCAAGCCATTTTAATCTCTTATCTAATAGACAAGTCCGTCCGTCCGTCCGTGGTGCTGTTTCAGCGGCCAAACCGTAACAGATAGATAAAGAGAATGTTTAAGTTATAAGTTGAGAAGGGTCTGATAAGACTGCAAACCGGATGTGAGTAACGTAGCACTTCCGGTTTTCGAGAAATCACGTGATTTCTATTTCAAACGAAACCACACAAAATCTCCGAAGTTCTCGATTAATTAAATACATTTTTTTTTTTTGGTGAACATATGGTTCACTGGTTTGCTAGTTATATTTTATTTAGTTTGCATTCCGAATCGATGCACTCTAAACTGCTGACACGGTTGACCCACTAATTGGTTTAAGAACAATATTTTACATTATATGACAGTGCAATAAAGGCATTCACATCATATTGACGTATTTTAATAATTATCTCCTGACAATCGTCCCGTGACTAATTGACAGTCGTTAGGGTCCCGGTAACGGCCCCTACAGACGTAATTTTAAAATGAATATAATAATAACAATAAAATGATGCGGTGTCGTGGGACACCAGGTAGGAACGAAGTTGAGTATATACTATGCATTGGCGGGGTGGAGTGGTAATAGAGAGAGAAGGGATGAGAGAACGAAAAGAAAGAGGGAGAAAGAGAAAGGTATTATACACTACTCGCTTGTGTATGCGACTGTCGCGCCTGCGCACGTCTCATTTAACGGTTTTATTCCACGCACTTTTTTCCACGGATTTTTTCTTACGGTTTTCTACTATCACATTTTTTTCAGTTCGGTCGCGCTGCTAAATCCCTATCCCCTCCAAGCCTGCCGTAAGGAACTTCGTTCCAATAATATAATAATATATTTATTTATTTCTCCTCACAACATGATGCTATTGTAATAGGTGAATACAAAAATGATAAACCTGTAGGTTGTGAGAAGCTGGTGTCTGACATGGGTATAGAAATACCTGTGTTACAGATCACCAGGCCCTCGGCCAACCGGAATGAGATAATTACAATACAACTTAACCAAAACAATTCTACAATATAGGAGAACTTATATAAAAAGACATTAAATATTAGCCTAGTTGTTCGTTTACAGAGATTAACATATCAAAGATGATTGAATGCCACACAAAGTGCAAACAAGTATAGCTGGAAGTTAAATGGACAGTTTCTATTGTGTTGTTTGTTGATACATTTACTTAATTACTTTAAATTACCTAATAGGTAATTAACATTACTTTGCTTTACATAAAAATGAAAATTAAAGATACTCATTTGCTAGAATTTCATTGAGAAAGTAATATGTCGGCGGATGGCGTCTCACTCGCTCCTTCGAAACGTTAAACCGACAACAAATGTCATCAGTCAGTGTACCGTTGCTTTGTGAAACGTCAAGTGATGACAGTGACGGCTGTCGTCACTCGAGTGCGGTCTATGCTAAGGGTTAGTATTTAAGGGGCGCTTCATTCGGCATTCAGACGTGAGCTGCGATAGTGAACGGACGTTAGCACAGAACTCTCCGCGCTTCGCAAAGTGATCCGTTTGTACATTGGCAATCATGATTGATTTTGTGAAATGATTAGAAGATTCGAATTAAACGTTTGTTTGGTTATTAGACCACAGTTTAATTTTCGGAAAATAATATCGAATACCCAAGATGGCGGATCGCGACGAACCACGCGACCGACCGCCTATCCCGCTCGCCCCTCTAACAAATATATTTTCGTTGCTCTATGCCTCGATCATTATTATTTTTTATATTGGAACGAAATTCCTAACGGCAGGCTTGGAGGGGATAGGGATGTGATAGGTAAAACCGTAAGAAAAAATCCGTGGAAAAAATGCGTGGAATAAAACCGTTAAATGAGCATTAGCCGAGGGAACTTCGTTCCTACCTGGTCTCCCACGCATTCCTTTTTGAAGTGAAACTTCTTTATCGGCGTTGGAAAAAAATTTACCGTTACATTTTTTTCGGTTACGCGTCACGTTTTTTGGTTACGCGCCATCTTTTTTTTTTAAAGAGCACTATTTACCTCATCCGAACAATTGCTTCTTCTGTCAACTTTAAAAAAAAAGTATCGACAGCAAATATTCGTGTTTCACACAAGCAAAGGTAAGATAAGGTAAGGTAAGGTAAGGTAAGGTGTAGTTATACCCCTTTAGTGGGTGAGTTTTTGAAAAATCTTAGCGCACGCCTATATATCGAGCCCTTACCGCCAAATTATCGTAAGCGACACTTTTATCGAAATGCGTTTTTTGTGGAAACTAATATTTTAAACCGTAACGGACCCATCTCTGTTGATATTTCCCACCAAAAGAACACCGTTACAATATAATAGACGGAAGAATAGAGGGAAACATCAACAGAGATGGGTCCGTTACGGTTTAAAATATTAGTTTCCACAATAAACGCATTTCGACAAAAGTGTCGCTTACGATAATTTGGCGGGAAGGGCTCGATATTTTCACTGCTTGTACGAAGTAATCGTACAATAAATCAATCGCTTAGCAATAACCTAATTTTAATGCTTACCGTGCGTTTGCATAAGCCGCGCCGCTACCATTATTACTTTAAACGTAACAATAAGTCAGTGCATTTTCAACTATCACTCAAACCGGTCATTTTATTTCGTCTTCCCTAGCATACGACCTTAGCATACAGCATCTTTAGCATAGCATTCGAGTGTAAGGGTTACACCCCACACTGCTCTATGCCTCGATCGTTATTATTTTTTTTATTGGAACGAAATTCCTGACGGCAGGCTTGGAGGGGATAGGGATTTTGCTGCGCGACCGAACTGAAAAAAATATGATAGTAAAACCGAAAGAAAAATCCGTGGAAAAAAAAATGGATGCGTGTAACTTATGTACGCGCGTGAGAAGTTATACTTCTTTAGCATCATTAAAAATATTTTTTATATTTTTTAAAAATATATTATAAATATGAATACCTATAACTGTTACTTTATTACAAAAAATAAAGATGTGGTTTTTGGTTCTACTACACCAATGGTCAAGAGATGGCGCTGTAGTCTCCTGAATCGCGCTTTGGTTCCGTTGTTCCAGATTAATAAATACTTTTGATAGGCCTTCACAATGCAATCGTTAGCACCCACAAAATAGAGATTCTATTTCTATTTTGTTGGTAGATTTTCTTAATGTGCGGTAAACACAAAAGTAACAGCATGAAGTTGGTCGCTTTAGCGTTAATTTTTTGTGTTACAGTGATGCGCGCGTATCTTAAAATTTCACTCTCATCATTTTTTCATAACGCGCCTAAAGAAGTATAACTTCAAAAAGTGCGTGGAATAAAACCGTTAAATGCGCATTAGCCGAAGGAACTTCGTTCCTACCTGGTCTCCCACGCACCACGTCATCCCTTTTTTAAGAGAGCTTTTAGGGGCGAAAGTCCGCTTTGAAATCTGACCGAAACATAGTATTCGATCCTTTAATACAGTACGCTTCGTCCCCGGTGTTTCATCATAACTAAGGTTAACAAATTTGTTTCTATAGAATATAGTATTTTCGAAGCTGTTAACTCTAAAAATGTAGCAAATGGCAGAAAAGGGATAAAAAAATATAGCATCCGGTTAAATATTTTTACTTTAATTTTGTAATGAATATATTTTTGGTGCTGTACGGGCTGCCTCGATAAATGATAAGTGAAGGGGCCTTGACTTCAATTTGTCAATTAGTCATGGGACGATTGTCAGGAGATAATTATTAAAATACGTCAATATGCTGTGAATGCCTTTATTGCACTGTCATATAATGTAAAATATTGTTCTTAAACCAATTAGTGGGTCAACTGTGTCAGCAGTTTAGAGTGCATCGATTCTGAATGCAAACTAAATAAAATATAACTAGCAAACCAGTGAACCATATGTTCACCAAAAAAAAATGTATTTAATTAATTGAGAACTTCGGAGATTTTGTGTGGTTTCGTTTGAAATAGAAATCACGTGATTTCTCGAAAACCGGAAGTGGTACGTTACTCACATCCGGTTTGTAGTCTTATCAGACTATTCTCAACTTATAACTTAAACATTCTCTATATCTATCTCTTACGGTTTGGCCGCTGAAACAGCACCACGGACGGACGGACGGACTTGTCTATTAGATAAGATATTAAAATGGCTTGTACAATAAGAAGGGTAATGGTAAAAATAGTATATTTGAGAATATACTAAAAACTAGCAAACCCAGCGAACTCCGTTTCGCCACCAGATAGCTTCGTTTTATGTAACATTTCGTTTTGTGATTAAAAGAAAACGATTTTTTTTTAATTTTTCCTGAATTTTCTTTGCTATAAACCTCACGGAGCCCGAGACCTTTCCAACGAATGCAAAACCGTGGAAATCGGTTCGTGCGTTCTGGAGTTATAGCGTCAGGAAGGAAAACCCGACTTATTTTTATATAGTGGATTTCCTGAATTTTCTTTGCTATAAACCTCACAGAGCCCGAGACCTTTCCAACGAATGCAAAACCGTGGAAATCGGTTCGTGCGTTCTGGAGTTATAGCGTCGGGAAGGAAAACCCGACTTATTTTTATATAGTAGACTAGCAAACCAGGCGAACTCCGTTTCGCCATCAGATGGCTTCGTTTTATGTAACATTTCGTTTGGTGATTAAAAGAATATTTTTTTTTTGAAATTTTTCCTGAATTATCTTTGCTATAAACCTCACGGAGCCCGAGACCTTTCCAACGCATGCAAAACCGTGGAAATCGGTTCGTGCGTTCTGGAGTTATAGCGTCGGGAAGGAAAACCCGACTTATTTTTATATAGTAGACTAGCAAACCAGGCGAACTCCGTTTCGCCATCAGATGGCTTCGTTTTATGTAACATTTCGTTTGGTGATTAAAAGAAGATTTTTTTTTTGAAATTTTTCCTGAATTATCTTTGCTATAAACCTCACGGAGCCCGAGACCTTTCCAACGAATGCAAAACCGTGGAAATTGGTTCGTGCGTTCTGGAGTTATAGCGTCAGGAAGGAAAACCCGACTTATTTTTATATAGTAGATTAACTTTATGCTGTCGTACCTGGTAGAGTAGATCTGCCATGACCATCCTCCCTTCAGCGTCGGTATTCCCCACACGCACGACCCGCCCACATCGCGCGCGCACCAATTCGTCGGCCACATACGAATCGGCGCCGATAGAGTTACGCGCGAATCCCAGCGCCGCCACCACCTTTAACTCCGGCCGCAGCAACTCGCAAGCCTGTCGAACGATCGACGGAATGCGTCAGCGACGGTCTCGCCGCCTGCGATCCGGCTCGAAGGACCGAAACCGCAGGTGCTTTGGAAATCTCACCTACATAGTGATATCACTCACACGAAATGAAAAAAGCATTTATTTTTTAAGCGTTCGACTGCTGGATAATTTAAATGTAAAGAAAATTTTATTAGAAGAAAATCTATGCGGCCCAGCAATCAAGCGAGACTATTAAATATTTATTGTATGTTTGTAGGTATATGTATTGTAGATAAAGTATGTATGTGTATAAATATATATTATACCAGTGTAAGTTTGAATAGTTATGATTTCCTCTCTTTTCCTTATTTACCGTCGTATCTTTCTCTGCTTAGCCCGATGGTTGACTGGTTGAGGACGCCTTATCGCATTAGGTTCACCGTTTGTTCAATGACAATGAATAGTAAATAAATAAATAATTGAACTGGTAAAAAATGGTGTTATACTTATGATATGAGCACAATCGGTGAGCGTCGCGCTAGTGGCCAGCTTGTGAGCGCTGTCCGCACTGACCTTGAGGAATCCGGCGACAGTGGCCGCGCCGCACTTGTCGCGCGACATGCCGGCCATCGCGCCGTTTATCTTCACGTCCGCGCCGCCCGTGTCGTACGTCACTCCCTACGACAAGCGATTACATTCTATAATCATCGTTCCGTAACCATAATCCATATGTCAGAGCAGCACGAATACCGAACATAGTGCCGACGACTTCATTTTCTCTTGTAACATAACTGATACGAAAGTGAGTTTGTTTAATTACACTCTCACACCTAAGCGGATAAATTTCGACGTAGACATAGATGAGAACCGGGAGACGAAACGAAATTGGCATCGATATCTAATTAAATGCAGCTATGTCAGCGCCATCTCATACCCTCCAGAAAAAGTTTGAGATCATCAGCAAAGAGAAGACACAGCAGCTCGAGTAGTATGCGGCAAGTCGTCGATCAGCAATAGAATCGGATAGCATAAATAGAAACAGACCCAAGGAACTTCCCTGACTCACGCCTGATCTGGTACTCGGCCGACTACCAGCCCTGCACTTTAACAAAAGGCGTCTATTTTTAAGATAACTAGCAAATATTTTGAGGAGTTTAGGTGTAAAGACAATAGGCTAGTTGACCCTTTTTGGAAAAAGGTTTTAAATGGTTAATAAATGTTCTATTAGACCGAAAAAAAATGTATTGTATTTTTTTTAAACCTAGAAAGCTACAAATCTTTAATTTTAAAATAGACTTTTCATGGACATACAAAAACGCTGTCGGCCATTTTAGTCTATAGATTGTCTATGCTATGACGTGAACTGTGGTAAACAAAAACTCGTAAACACGTAGAAAATTACTTTTAACTGAGTTTATAATAAAAAAAAACATGATTTCTAATAAATACCACGAAAAATAAAGTAATTATCATTACTGTATTGTACGAGAATATAAAAACACATCCTTGAAGACTCCAGGAAAGTTGTGGATTAAAGTGCGGAAAGAAATTAACCTACGCAACTTTATTACACTTATTCATATGTTGTATCAGTTTTATGTTTATTACTACATTGTAATACTAAATGCACTGTACTTACATAGATGCCTTGTCGTTTCTCTGCTCCGCAGAGCAGAAATCGGAGTTTAGTGCAACAAATTCACCAACCATCAATGCGTCAATTCTTGGCAGATTTGTGCTTTCTGCTTTCACAAAGCCGGCATCCATAATTTGTTTAGTCAAAAAAAACTAAGTTTACTGTTTTCTTCTTTCCTAAAGTTAAAAGTGTTTTAAGATAAATTTAGTCAGACGAAAGAATCCACCTACAGTAACACGCGAATGACATTTAGTTGTTTACCACAAGAGACGTCAAAATCATGGCGAATGTAGCGAACAGCGTTTTTAGTGTTTAAAAAATATAGACTAAAAAATATTTTTTAAAATTAAATTTCTACAGCAATCTTCTGCTTTTATGAAGTGAAATCGATATATTAAGGTTCCTTAGACTAAACACTTTAAGAAATAAACATTTATTTAATACAATTCGACATGAGTAAACTAGCCTATTATTGCAACAGAATGTCGTCCACCAGGTCGAAAGTCCAAGTCAATCTGGCACCCAGCTTCACTCTCCGATCCGCTGATACATAATCCGACAAAGTAATAAGATTAGTAGAGGTCGATCGAGCTCTACGAAATCTTTGGTGGCAGTAGATTTACAAATTTTAACAGTAACTGATATAATCGCGTTAGGTCTGACATCATTCTAAGGAAAAACTTCCTTCCTTTTTCCTTTGATGACTCTAATCCCAAAAAAAGATATTGTAACTGAATATCGGCCCACTTCTAAGCTCTGTATTTTAGGTAAAATTTTGGTAAAAATAATAGCTGAAGATAAAGCCCAGGCAGCCCGCAGCTTTATCTCCCCCCATCAGCATGGCTTTTACAGGCTGCTGCGCGTTGATAGTAACATGGTAACCTTTACAGATTACCTTGCACAGGGTATGGATAAAAATCTTCAAGTGTCAATCGTCTTAGTGTACACTGACTTCTCGAAGGCATTCGATAAAATCAATCATAATACTCTTATAACTAAGCTTTTAGCAGCCATAGTAATCTACTAAGATGGATACAGTCCTACATTCAGAATCGTAGCCAGTTAGTTTGCATCAAGAGATACTCGTCACAGTTTCTTCCAATACCATCAGGCATTCCACAAGGCTCACATATAGGCCCTCCTCTGTTTTCCTTTTATATCAATGATATTGGCCACGTCTTTAACCACAGTCTTCATCTGCTTTATGCAGACGATACTAAATTATTTTGGATTGTGGAATCTGAATATGACGCTATTAAATTGAAAGCAGACGTGGACTCTTTAAGCAAATACTGCACAAATAACAATTATTTCTAAATACTGACAAATGCTATGTTATATCTTACACTCGTAACGATAACCAAATTAATTTTAATTATTGTATAAATGGCAAACCTCTGAAAAGATGGACCGTATTAGAGATTTAGGAATGATGATGGACTTAAAGTTATCCTTTAATTATCATATTGTTTGTATTGTGGCCGCTGCATATAAGATATTGGGCTTCATTCTTAGAATAAGTAAACCGTTTAAAAATACAAAAACACTTAAAACCCTGTGCTTTTATCGTTCCACCAACACATACAACGAGAAATTCTATGAATTTGATTTTTTTAATATGTCTCTTGCTACATTAAAAGGAAACTTACTGGAAAACTTTAAGGAGATGCTTAAAATTAAATGTATATATCAGTGTGTGTACACACACACGCACACATGTATATATATACATATGCTATAAATATTTCCTATTACACAGTAACGGTTTAGTTTGGATTTTCATTAGCTGATCATGTCCTGACTTTAGGTCTGTATTTATATTGAGTTTACGCACAACGCTATAAATTTAACATTTAACATAAGCTACTTTTGTTAATTAAATATTGTTTTTGCCAAAAAAAATCACCTTTAGTTTCAGCAGTACCGGCGTTGCATGTGACAGTTTCCAGGCAAATGACAGATGTATAATGGAGTAAAATAAGGGAAACCGTGAGTTATTTTCCCCTTAAAAATGAAAGCGGATATCAATCGGTCTTAGAACATTAATTTCCTTTTCAGTTATTTTTTGCAAAGGACCTTTATTAGTTTTGGAGATTAGACAGTATAGGCCGGGTATATTCCAAGTTAATTCACGGCTGTAACTGCCGTTATTTAATTTCTCTTTTATTTATTATATTACTAGAGGTCGCCCGCGACTTCGTCTGCGATAACTTAGTTTCTTAAAAATCCCTCTGGAAGCTAACATTTTTCGGGATTAAAGTAGCCTGTGTGTGAATCTAGGGTGTCAGCTAACTCAATACCAAATTTTATTAAAATCGTTCCAGCCGTTTAGACGCAAAGAAGTAACAAACATACACACTCACATACTCACACACTCACAAACTTTCGCCTTTATAATATTATTATGTTGTTTTATTATAATATTATTATTTGGTTCACTAGGTTGCTAGTAAGGAAACCAGTGAACCGAATGTTCACCAAAACCTGATTTAAAAAAAAATGTATTTAATTAATTGAGAACTTCGTAGACTTTGTGTGGTTTCGTTTGAAATACGTGATTTCTCGAAAACCGGAAGTGCTACGTTACTCAGATCCGGTTTGTAGTCTTATCAGACTATTCTTAACTTATAACTTAAACATTCTCTTTATCTATCTCTTAAGGTTTGGCCGCTGAAACAGCACCACAGACGGACGGACGGACTTGTCTAATAGATAAGAGATATGTTTTTCAGTATAATGTTTCTAAGTAGTCTCGTTGCCTCACCTTGCCCACGAACATCAGCGTTTTCTCATACTGCTCCGGCTCGTACTCCAGGAACACGATGCATCCTGACACAAATAAACACCCACTCATTAAACAAACATCCGTTGACAGATTACAATAATCATTACAAATACTTGCATCATCTCGTAATGTGACAGTGAAAATATATTGTGTATGCAACGATATAAAATACCCCAGATATACCAACACGAACAAAATCGTGCACGAAACCTGTCCAAAAGGTACATTGAACGATCCACGGAGCTCCGTAAGATGATCGCGTAGTCAAAATCAATATAAGGCATTATTTAAATATTGAAAGTAACCTTTGATACGTACTGTATAAGGTCTTAAATAAAACGCATGCGTCAAGGAGTTCTAACAGTTCGAAATGCAAGCTCGTAAAATTTTACAACTTATTGCTATATGCGGAAGAATTTAGACCTTAGTTCTTTGACTCTATGCGCAATTCCGAACGCGCTGTTAGCACTATAGCGGGCACGGACCGCGAGGAAAAGAGACGGCTACATGGCGACGTATAACCGACCATGCATTTGAATATCACAAATATTTTATATTAAATCAGTTTATAGTATTAGATCAAAATTTGCTTCAAATGCATTAAATTAACAAACATTGACAAGATACCTGTCGAAAAAACGACACTTTTCGTACTCTTTTCGCATTTTTTCGCGGAGCTCTGTGGCATCTTGACTTTGCAACGGTCCGCGCGTGACTGTGAACCAAGAAGTGCTTGAGTGGAGTTCAAGCACTTCTTGATTGGGACACATTTTGAGCACTCGTGGTGTATCTAGGGTATTTAGTATCGTTGTGTGTATGCAAGTAATGGTCGTCCGCAGATGTTAACTAAACATTATGTTTAATTCAAAAAGGTGCCGCCGGTACATTTTCTAGAATAGAACACAGAAACTATAAAAACATTTATTGCTTGTCAAGGTTAACGTCAAAGTATGGCCAACTTAAAGCCATACAAAATGTAATGTCATGTAAGGTCATGAATTAGCAACATTTTTGATAATAAAAAAATATAAATATTCTTTATTGCACATAACAAAGGACACAAGACATAAACAAATAAAACAGAAGAAAGAGTACAATAGGCGGCCTTATTGCTAAACAGCAAATTCTTCCAGGAAATCTATCGTGGAAGAAAAATAATAATATAAATAAATATAGAAGGGTGCAAAAGAAAATACAGGAGATAATCCTTACATAAATATTCAAGAGAAGCAAAGATGGGATGCTAAATGGCAATGAAGTTGGTCGCTTTAGCGACCAACTTCATGCTGTTACTTTTGTGTTTACCGCACATTAAGAAAATCTACCAACGAAATAGAATCTCTATTTAGTGTGTGCTAACGACTGCATTGTGAAGGCCTATCAAAAGTATTTATTAATCTGGAACAACGGAACCAAAGCGCGATTCAGGAGACTATAGCGCCATCTCTTGACCATTGGTGTAGTAGAACCAAAAACCACATCTTTATTTTTGTAATAAAGTAACAGTTATAGGTATTCATATTTGTAATATCAAAAGTATTTATTAATCTGGAACAACGAAACCAAAGCGCGATTCAGGAGACTACAGCGCCATCTCTTGACCATTGGTGTAGTAGAACTAAAAACCACATCTTTATTTTTTGTAATAAAGTAACAGTTATAGGTATTCAGATTTATAATATTTATCCACATGTTTCTAGTTTGTATATTCGGAATACGTGTTTGAGTTTCATACAAGTGCAAATCACATATGTTCTAATAAATTATATTCAGTAGCGATTTTAATTGAATATTTTGATTATTTATTTATTTTTTCAAATTAAAACTGAACTTTATTGACTGTGTCCTTTTCTAGACTTTTTATTAATTTATTGTAATTAATTATTTGCATGCAATTAGAAACTAATTTTAAACGATGCCAAAGAAGGATAACTTCTCACGCGCCTACATAAGTACACGCACCCATTTTTTTTTATGTATATACTAGTGGCCCGCCCTCGCTTTGCTTCGGTGTAGAGCTGTAGTGTAAACTATAGTTTTTGTTCTCAGGCTTGTGCTATAAAGAATGACTTTATTTATATAATTACACGTGTTATTGTGAGTCAACCATAAAAGATAGACATATGCTGTTGCGGGATATTTTTTAGACAATTTTATGTAGAATATTTCCGTGATACATGATTTCTATGTAACTTTAACCATTAAGGCTGCACACGCGACGGAAGCTTAAAAAATGGAGTAACTTCTCCCGTTTTCCCAACATTTCCCTTCACTACTCTGCTGCTATTGATTGTAGCGAGATGAAAAGTATACTATAACCTGCCCAGGAGCATGAAGAATAATTGTACCAAGTTTGGTTAAAATCCGTCGAGTAGTTTTTGTTTCTATAAGGAACATACACACAGACAGACAGACAAAAATTTTACTGATTGCATTTTTGGCATCAGTATCGATCACTAATCACCCCCTGATAGTTATTTTGAAAATATATTTCATGTACAGAATTGACCTCTCTACAGTTTTATTATAAGTATACAGGGTGTGACAAAAGTCCGAAATAAAACTTTAGGGTTTGGTTGTGTTCCTTGTATAGAATTACCTACGAAAGTTTGACGCCTTTTAGACCACTTTTATTTTCTAATTAAATTAATAAAAACATAGTTTTACACCTGCCTATGACAAGTCTATAAATGCGTACGATTACTACTAACTATACAGACCCCCCTCACTCCCCCAGGCACCCCTGCGCCCCGCTCAGATACCTACAAATTTTTATTTCGGAATACATACCTACAAATTTTATTTCGGAATTGTGTAACACCCTGTATATATAGACTGACCCCGGTGTCGCGGCACCTGGTCGGCGGCGCGCGAGACGGCGGCCAGCAGCGGGTAGTGGTCGCGGATGTGCTGCGCGTCGGTCTCCACCCGCACGCGGCACCTGGTGCCCTGGAACGCCTGCTGCAGGTGGCACGCGGCCTGCAGCGGCGACATGCGCTCCGGGTCCCCGCCCCCCACGTCGCGAGCCAGGCACCTGACGTCATATAATGCGATCCGACTGACAATAGGACCGACAGGGCGACAAAATTCAAAAAATTCAAAATTCAATATCGTTCATTCAGTCTAGGCTGTTACAAGCGCTTGTGAATGTCGAAAAGCTACGCCATCGGTTCGCAAATCTACGGCGGGAGACCTTGTACTGAGAAGAACCGGCAAGAAACTCGGCAAGGGCTGCTTTTTTCTCCCTGTATTATATACAGAGTCGTCAAATTGAAAAATGACTTCAATATGAGGTAACTCATAAAGTCACTTTTCATTACAAACAAAAAAAAATGCAAATATAAAAATTATGACTATAAAATAAAAAATTAAAATATGTAAAAAAAATGGTTTAACAAAGTTTAGGAATGACGTGTCCTACCGCTGAGGCAAAAAGAAAATAATAATATAGACATATTTTGATGTCATAGCAGTCGATTCAAACCAAACAAGTAGAGTGAGCAAAACAAATGATTTTATTTAATAAAACTTCGAACTAACTCAAGCTCAACCTCGAATCGTTTATTGCAACCATAATGTGTACAGTGGGTGGTAGGTACTTATATAAATACTAGCGGACCCGACAGACGTTGTCCTGTCTACACGTCTTTAATTTGAAAATTTCAAACTTTTTTTAATAAGCTAAAACATTCTGGACCATTTTGATGAAAATTACCATTCTCAGATCCCCTTGAACACACACAAAAAATTTCATCAAAATCGGTCCAGTCGTTTAAGAGAAGTTCAGTGACATACACACTCACAGAAGAATTATATATATAAAGATGATCATTATGGACCCCGTCGGGCACGCGATTGGTTATTAGAAGAGAGGATACGCTTCTCGGAAGAACAACACTAATAGTAAAATTATAATTGGATGTTAGAGATTGTTTCATATGTTTATTTTTGATTGTTATAATTGGATTTTTTGACTAAGATTAAGTGAGGTAATATATTACTAGGTTACATACTAACATGCATCCTTTAGGTAAACGAAAGTTTTAAATTGAGTTTCTGAACGCAACTTTGGTTGACGGTTTAGGTTATCGACCGTTCATAGCCAAAGCTCAATAAATGAAAAAAAAAAAATATCAACCAATAATAATTATCAATATTTGTTATTGTTTGTTTACAAATGTGTGGTTTTTAATCTAAAATTAGCAATGTGTTAAAAAAGGGTTTCAAGGATTTTTTTGCAAACCGTACTTTTCAAGCGATATATCAGTTCGAGGTCATTGGCTTTCCTGTTGTTATTTGAATCGCACTATACCGTCACACACTCGCATCACCATCACCGCACCATGTCACGGTTACTCTGCTCTACTAACTAAGCTCAGAAATGAGATAACAGAATATCATGCAAATTAATTATTTTAATACAGGGTGTTACAAAAATACAAATAAATTTGGAGGGCGTTGAAGTACATCATATGAGAAGTCTTCTCTAATTTTCTTAAAATATTTGCATGTAGTTTTAACTTTTAGTAAAAACAGTTATTTTTAATGATTCTCGAACTAGTGTCGTGTCTGAAAAAGATCGATATTTTAATTAAGCATTAAAAATAACTTTTTTTTCTTTCATTTAAATTTCATGCAAATATTTAAAAAAAAAGAGAAGACTACTTATATAATGTACTTCAACGCCCTTCAAGCTTTATTTGTATTTTTGTAACACCCTGTATAAAGTGCGAGTTTACGTATACAAATCCGCTTGATGAATTTAAATTGCATTTTAGTGTCTGTGAATAGTTTTATTATTGTAAATAGCCAGTTTGATTATTAACATTATTATGATTTGTAAATAATTTAGTTACAATAAAATTGTGTTTTATTATTATAAGTAGTTTTTAGTGTAGAATTAAATCTAATAGTGTAATTATTTAGTTTTAGGCATTGTAAATATATAATATATTTATGTGTATTTTAGGGTTATAATATGAATTATGTAACGCATAACGTTACAACCATCGGCGGCAACCAACGAGCCGAACGTTCCTCGCTCCAATTTCAGACAGCCCCGCAAAGTATCGCATCGTCAAAGCTTCCATTGAATCCGAGCAGCGCCCCTATGGTTCGTAAAAACAAACCGGCTTTATCCATACAAAATTCGATGGCGACGATACGTCACGGGGTTGTCAAAAATTAGCACTCGGGCCTCCGGTCCTACTCCAAAGTTTCGCTCTAAAACGAGTAAAAAGGTTTTTTTGGCGGGATTTCATCGAGTGTGGTTGGCGTCTTATTTTAATTATTCTTAAATTCGTTCATAGTGGATATTGTGAAATAAAATTGGTGTGATTTTGTGTTACAACTGTCTGCGTAACTGAAGAATTAGTAGAATCGTCAAAATATACGCTATTCCGGTCAAGTGGACGTGAGAATTTTATTGTAGTATTGACTACCTCACAGAAGCTTATCGAAAAAGCCAGCTCAATACATTTCGTGCCAAACACTTCAAGAAACATTAGAATGCGTCACACCGACATTCTAATGTAAAAAGAAAAACAGAATAATTTAACTTAAGACTAGGCTGTATGGGCATTGTTCCCCTTGCCTTCCCTGAAAAGGGAGAACTAAACCAAAAAAAAAAACGAGTAAAAATCGACACGCGGTTTACGAAACTAGACTCGAGGAGTCGAGCCGATTCGATGGAATCAATTAAGTATAATATCCTTCGCACCCTGGTACCCGAAGTAAACCGTCGAATTAGACTCGAGCGTATGTACGGTCACGTTCTTCTCTTCTCTAATTGATCAGTGCATTCGCCCGGATAGCGAAGGGTGCGGGTTCGAGTCCCGTCTGCTGCCTGGTCCGCGTGTATTTTTTTCCCTAGTTATATGTTATTTACATTTTTAAACAGGCTTTAAAAAAATAAAAATTATAAAAATAAAGTGAGTATTTTAGCCACATAAGTACTATCTTCCTATTTCCATTATTAGCTGCAAAAATACTATTTTAATTGAAAAAAAAGTTGGTAACCCTCATTGAGCTTTTCCACATTGTTTATTTATTTATTTATTTATTTATTTATTCATGGAAAACAAACAGCATGTTAAAACTAAGGATAAAACGAGATGATGTAGCATTGATATGCCTTATACAGTTTTCACAAATACAACTCAAATAAAATATACTTAATCCAATCGAGGCCGTAGATTAATTTAAAACTATATAAAAATAAAAACACAGAAGCAAAAAATTAAGCATAAAGCCATACCCACAGAGAAAATGGTGATAGAAATATAAAGTAATTTAAATTAGGTTTTATTATTATTATTATTAAAAAATTTACTATTCACAATCTTTTTGAAATAATTTTGTTTCGCCAGGAATACGTCCACTTGAATAATTATTATTGAAATTTTGTTTTACTCTATTAAAGTAGGAATTCTGTCTATAATTTGTGGAACATAAATCAGTATGGAATCGCAGATAATTGCGTCTGGCAACTGTACGGAATGGTACCTGGATTTTAACCAATGATAGCAGCTCATTGCTGTCTATCTTGCCGAGAATTAAGTTGTGGAAAAATGTTAAGTCCGCAGCTTCTCTACGCTTACTTAATGGAAGAAGATGGTGTCGTTGGCAGTTAACAATATAATTTGGACCTGGACTTAACCCAAATTTGAAGTAAAAACTTCAGGAACCTTTTTTGGATCTTTTCTAATTGATTAATATAACAATCATAGTGAGGATTCCAGACCTGGGATGCGTATTCCAGGTGACTTCTTACCAAAGAGCAATATAAATTTTTTAATGATTTTGCTATTTTAAAATCTTTGGTTGATCTGAAGATAAACGCTAACATTTTCATGGCTTTTGATGTTATATTATCAACGTGCCTATCTAGAAGGAGTTTCGAATCAAAGATTACGCCCAGGTCCCTTATGTAATCTGTACGCTGTAATGACTGCATATTAATTTTATAGTTGAAGTGGAGGATATTTTGAGATCTACTGAAAGTAATACAATTACATTTAGATATATTAAGGTCGAGTTTATTTGCAAGACAATAGTCCTGTAGCCTAACGAGATCCTGTTGCATAAGTACACAATCGTGAATTGAGCCAATCTTTCTGAAAATTTTCATGTCATCTGCAAATAGTAGTATTTGTGAGTGTTCGAAGCATATATTAATGTCATTAACAAATATAATAAATAGAAGAGGACCCAAAATGGATCCCTGTGGTACACCAGATGGAATGGCCGAGAAACGTGAGTGGGAAGAGAAACCGTTAAGAACGACCGTTTGGCATCGATTGGCAACATAAGAACTTAACCACCGGAAAAGATTTCCGCGTATACCCGCTGATTGTAGCTTTCTGAGCAGTAACACGTGATCAATCCGATCAAATGCCTTGCTATAATCGGTATAGATTGCATCAACTTGCCCACCCGACTGCATTCCATTAGTCACCTCCTCCAAGAACGATAAGAGGTTGGTCACTGTAGATCTGCCTTTTAAAAAACCGTGTTGCTGTGGAAGAAATGTATTTTATTGTCCGCACAAAGCCCGAGAAAATGACAGATTTTATCGGAAATCTGTGATGACACACCGCACGATAACATATCGGATAATGTGGAAATGCTCTTAGTAAACATTCAATGTCAAGCGCGGGGGCGCGGGTGAGAGAGACAGAGAGACAGACAGACAGAGAGAGGCACTCACCGCGCGGTCTCCAGTGCTACGGCGCAGGCGATGGTGGGCGCGAGCGGGTGCAGCCCCTCCCCCTCCCCCTCCCCCTCCCCGTACACGCCCAGCGCCTCCGGCCGCTGCACCAGGTGCGGAAACGACTCGCGCGACTGCAGCGGCTGTTAACATACCCACGCTCACAACCACTCTCATTCAGTAGGAACATTAATACATATTGTTGTGTGTGTGTGTGTGTGAGGGACGTACACAGTATGCGGCCTCGAGCGCGGCCAGCAGCGCCACGAGAGGCGCGCGCGGGAAGCGCGGGTGCGGCTGCAGCGCCAGCACGGGGCGGCGCGCGTGTGTGTGTGTGTGTGTGTGTGTGTGTGTGTGTGTGTGTGTGTGTGTGTGTGTGTGTGTGTGTGTGTGAGGGACGTACACAGTATGCGGCCTCGAGCGCGGCCAGCAGCGCCACGAGCGGCGCGCGCGGGAAGCGCGGGTGCGGCTGCAGCGCCAGCACGGGGCGGCGCGCGCGCGTGTGTGTGTGTGTGTGTGTGTGTGTGTGTGTGTGTGTGTGTGTGTGTGTGTGTGTGTGAGGGACGTACACAGTATGCGGCCTCGAGCGCGGCCAGCAGCGCCACGAGCGGCGCGCGCGGGAAGCGCGGGTGCGGCTGCAGCGCCAGCACGGGGCGGCGCGCGCGCGTGTGTGTGTGTGTGTGTGTGTGTGTGTGTGTGTGTGTGTGTGTGTGTGTGTGTGTGTGTGTGTGTGTGTGTGTGTGTGTGTGTGTGTGTGTGAGTGTGAGGGACGTACACAGTATGCGGCCTCGAGCGCGGCCAGCAGCGCCACGAGCGGCGCGCGCGGGAAGCGCGGGTGCGGCTGCAGCGCCAGCACGGGGCGGCGCGCGCGTGTGTGTGTGTGTGTGTGTGTGTGTGTGTGTGTGTGTGTGTGTGTGTGTGTGTGTGTGTGTGTGTGTGTGTGTGTGTGTGAGTGTGAGGGACGTACACAGTATGCGGCCTCGAGCGCGGCCAGCAGCGCCACGAGCGGCGCGCGCGGGAAGCGCGGGTGCGGCTGCAGCGCCAGCACGGGGCGGCGCGCGCGCGTGTGTGTGTGTGTGTGTGTGTGTGTGTGTGTGTGTGTGTGTGTGTGTGTGTGTGTGTGTGTGTGTGTGTGAGTGTGAGGGACGTACACAGTATGCGGCCTCGAGCGCGGCCAGCAGCGCCACGAGCGGCGCGCGCGGGAAGCGCGGGTGCGGCTGCAGCGCCAGCACGGGGCGGCGCGCGCGCGTGTGTGTGTGTGTGTGTGTGTGTGTGTGTGTGTGTGTGTGTGTGTGTGTGTGTGTGTGTGTGAGGGACGTACACAGTATGCGGCCTCGAGCGCGGCCAGCAGCGCCACGAGCGGCGCGCGCGGGAAGCGCGGGTGCGGCTGCAGCGCCAGCACGGGGCGGCGCGCGCGCGTGTGTGTGTATGTGTGTGTGTGTGTGTGTGTGTGTGTGTGTGTGTGTGTGTGTGTGTGTGTGTGTGTGTGTGTGTGTGTGAGTGTGAGGGACGTACACAGTATGCGGCCTCGAGCGCGGCCAGCAGCGCCACGAGCGGCGCGCGCGGGAAGCGCGGGTGCGGCTGCAGCGCCAGCACGGGGCGGCGCGCGCGCGCGTGTGTGTGTGTGTGTGTGTGTGTGTGTGTGTGTGTGTGTGTGTGTGTGTGTGTGTGTGTGTGTGTGTGTGTGTGAGTGTGAGGGACGTACACAGTATGCGGCCTCGAGCGCGGCCAGCAGCGCCACGAGCGGCGCGCGCGGGAAGCGCGGGTGCGGCTGCAGCGCCAGCACGGGGCGGCGCGCGCGTGTGTGTGTGTGTGTGTGTGTGTGTGTGTGTGTGTGTGTGTGTGTGTGTGTGTGTGTGTGTGTGTGTGTGTGTGTGTGAGTGTGAGGGACGTACACAGTATGCGGCCTCGAGCGCGGCCAGCAGCGCCACGAGCGGCGCGCGCGGGAAGCGCGGGTGCGGCTGCAGCGCCAGCACGGGGCGGCGCGCGCGCGTGTGTGTGTGTGTGTGTGTGTGTGTGTGTGTGTGTGTGTGTGTGTGTGTGTGTGTGTGTGTGTGTGTGTGTGTGTGTGAGTGTGAGGGACGTACACAGTATGCGGCCTCGAGCGCGGCCAGCAGCGCCACGAGCGGCGCGCGCGGGAAGCGCGGGTGCGGCTGCAGCGCCAGCACGGGGCGGCGCGCGCGCGTGTGTGTGTGTGTGTGTGTGTGTGTGTGTGTGTGTGTGTGTGTGTGTGTGTGTGTGTGTGTGTGTGTGTGTGTGTGTGTGAGTGTGAGGGACGTACACAGTATGCGGCCTCGAGCGCGGCCAGCAGCGCCACGAGCGGCGCGCGCGGGAAGCGCGGGTGCGGCTGCAGCGCCAGCACGGGGCGGCGCGCGCGTGTGTGTGTGTGTGTGTGTGTGTGTGTGTGTGTGTGTGTGTGTGTGTGTGTGTGTGTGTGTGTGTGTGTGTGTGTGTGTGAGTGTGAGGGACGTACACAGTATGCGGCCTCGAGCGCGGCCAGCAGCGCCACGAGCGGCGCGCGCGGGAAGCGCGGGTGCGGCTGCAGCGCCAGCACGGGGCGGCGCGCGCGCGTGTGTGTGTGTGTGTGTGTGTGTGTGTGTGTGTGTGTGTGTGTGTGTGTGTGTGTGTGTGTGTGTGTGTGAGGGACGTACACAGTATGCGGCCTCGAGCGCGGCCAGCAGCGCCACGAGCGGCGCGCGCGGGAAGCGCGGGTGCGGCTGCAGCGCCAGCACGGGGCGGCGCGCGCGCGTGTGTGTGTGTGTGTGTGTGTGTGTGTGTGTGTGTGTGTGTGTGTGTGTGTGTGTGTGTGTGTGTGTGTGTGTGTGTGTGTGTGTGTGTGTGAGTGTGAGGGACGTACACAGTATGCGGCCTCGAGCGCGGCCAGCAGCGCCACGAGCGGCGCGCGCGGGAAGCGCGGGTGCGGCTGCAGCGCCAGCACGGGGCGGCGCGCGCGCGCGTGTGTGTGTGTGTGTGTGTGTGTGTGTGTGTGTGTGTGTGTGTGTGTGTGTGTGTGTGTGTGTGTGTGTGTGTGTGTGTGTGTGTGAGTGTGAGGGACGTACACAGTATGCGGCCTCGAGCGCGGCCAGCAGCGCCACGAGCGGCGCGCGCGGGAAGCGCGGGTGCGGCTGCAGCGCCAGCACGGGGCGGCGCGCGCGCGTGTGTGTGTGTGTGTGTGTGTGTGTGTGTGTGTGTGTGTGTGTGTGTGTGTGTGTGTGTGTGTGTGTGTGTGTGTGTGTGTGTGAGTGTGAGGGACGTACACAGTATGCGGCCTCGAGCGCGGCCAGCAGCGCCACGAGCGGCGCGCGCGGGAAGCGCGGGTGCGGCTGCAGCGCCAGCACGGGGCGGCGCGCGCGCGTGTGTGTGTGTGTGTGTGTGTGTGTGTGTGTGTGTGTGTGTGTGTGTGTGTGTGTGTGTGTGTGTGTGTGTGTGTGTGTGTGTGTGAGTGTGAGGGACGTACACAGTATGCGGCCTCGAGCGCGGCCAGCAGCGCCACGAGCGGCGCGCGCGGGAAGCGCGGGTGCGGCTGCAGCGCCAGCACGGGGCGGCGCGCGCGCGTGTGTGTGTGTGTGTGTGTGTGTGTGTGTGTGTGTGTGTGTGTGTGTGTGTGTGTGTGTGTGTGTGTGTGTGTGTGTGTGTGTGTGTGAGTGTGAGGGACGTACACAGTATGCGGCCTCGAGCGCGGCCAGCAGCGCCACGAGCGGCGCGCGCGGGAAGCGCGGGTGCGGCTGCAGCGCCAGCACGGGGCGGCGCGCGCGCGTGTGTGTGTGTGTGTGTGTGTGTGTGTGTGTGTGTGTGTGTGTGTGTGTGTGTGTGTGTGTGTGTGTGTGTGTGTGTGTGTGTGTGTGAGTGTGAGGGACGTACACAGTATGCGGCCTCGAGCGCGGCCAGCAGCGCCACGAGCGGCGCGCGCGGGAAGCGCGGGTGCGGCTGCAGCGCCAGCACGGGGCGGCGCGCGCGCGTGTGTGTGTGTGTGTGTGTGTGTGTGTGTGTGTGTGTGTGTGTGTGTGTGTGTGTGTGTGTGTGTGTGTGTGTGTGTGTGTGTGAGTGTGAGGGACGTACACAGTATGCGGCCTCGAGCGCGGCCAGCAGCGCCACGAGCGGCGCGCGCGGGAAGCGCGGGTGCGGCTGCAGCGCCAGCACGGGGCGGCGCGCGCGCGTGTGTGTGTGTGTGTGTGTGTGTGTGTGTGTGTGTGTGTGTGTGTGTGTGTGTGTGTGTGTGTGTGTGTGTGTGTGTGTGTGTGAGTGTGAGGGACGTACACAGTATGCGGCCTCGAGCGCGGCCAGCAGCGCCACGAGCGGCGCGCGCGGGAAGCGCGGGTGCGGCTGCAGCGCCAGCACGGGGCGGCGCGCGCGCGTGTGTGTGTGTGTGTGTGTGTGTGTGTGTGTGTGTGTGTGTGTGTGTGTGTGTGTGTGTGTGTGTGTGTGTGTGTGTGTGTGAGTGTGAGGGACGTACACAGTATGCGGCCTCGAGCGCGGCCAGCAGCGCCACGAGCGGCGCGCGCGGGAAGCGCGGGTGCGGCTGCAGCGCCAGCACGGGGCGGCGCGCGCGCGTGTGTGTGTGTGTGTGTGTGTGTGTGTGTGTGTGTGTGTGTGTGTGTGTGTGTGTGTGTGTGTGTGTGTGTGTGTGTGTGTGTGAGTGTGAGGGACGTACACAGTATGCGGCCTCGAGCGCGGCCAGCAGCGCCACGAGCGGCGCGCGCGGGAAGCGCGGGTGCGGCTGCAGCGCCAGCACGGGGCGGCGCGCGCGCGTGTGTGTGTGTGTGTGTGTGTGTGTGTGTGTGTGTGTGTGTGTGTGTGTGTGTGTGTGTGTGTGTGTGTGTGTGTGTGTGTGAGTGTGAGGGACGTACACAGTATGCGGCCTCGAGCGCGGCCAGCAGCGCCACGAGCGGCGCGCGCGGGAAGCGCGGGTGCGGCTGCAGCGCCAGCACGGGGCGGCGCGCGCGCGTGTGTGTGTGTGTGTGTGTGTGTGTGTGTGTGTGTGTGTGTGTGTGTGTGTGTGTGTGTGTGTGTGTGTGTGTGTGTGTGTGTGTGAGTGTGAGGGACGTACACAGTATGCGGCCTCGAGCGCGGCCAGCAGCGCCACGAGCGGCGCGCGCGGGAAGCGCGGGTGCGGCTGCAGCGCCAGCACGGGGCGGCGCGCGCGCGTGTGTGTGTGTGTGTGTGTGTGTGTGTGTGTGTGTGTGTGTGTGTGTGTGTGTGTGTGTGTGTGTGTGTGTGTGTGTGTGTGAGTGTGAGGGACGTACACAGTATGCGGCCTCGAGCGCGGCCAGCAGCGCCACGAGCGGCGCGCGCGGGAAGCGCGGGTGCGGCTGCAGCGCCAGCACGGGGCGGCGCGCGCGCGTGTGTGTGTGTGTGTGTGTGTGTGTGTGTGTGTGTGTGTGTGTGTGTGTGTGTGTGTGTGTGTGTGTGTGTGTGTGTGTGTGTGTGAGTGTGAGGGACGTACACAGTATGCGGCCTCGAGCGCGGCCAGCAGCGCCACGAGCGGCGCGCGCGGGAAGCGCGGGTGCGGCTGCAGCGCCAGCACGGGGCGGCGCGCGCGCGTGTGTGTGTGTGTGTGTGTGTGTGTGTGTGTGTGTGTGTGTGTGTGTGTGTGTGTGTGTGTGTGTGTGTGTGTGTGTGTGTGTGTGTGTGAGTGTGAGGGACGTACACAGTATGCGGCCTCGAGCGCGGCCAGCAGCGCCACGAGCGGCGCGCGCGGGAAGCGCGGGTGCGGCTGCAGCGCCAGCACGGGGCGGCGCGCGCGCGTGTGTGTGTGTGTGTGTGTGTGTGTGTGTGTGTGTGTGTGTGTGTGTGTGTGTGTGTGTGTGTGTGTGTGTGTGTGTGTGTGTGTGAGTGTGAGGGACGTACACAGTATGCGGCCTCGAGCGCGGCCAGCAGCGCCACGAGCGGCGCGCGCGGGAAGCGCGGGTGCGGCTGCAGCGCCAGCACGGGGCGGCGCGCGCGCGTGTGTGTGTGTGTGTGTGTGTGTGTGTGTGTGTGTGTGTGTGTGTGTGTGTGTGTGTGTGTGTGTGTGTGTGTGTGTGTGTGAGTGTGAGGGACGTACACAGTATGCGGCCTCGAGCGCGGCCAGCAGCGCCACGAGCGGCGCGCGCGGGAAGCGCGGGTGCGGCTGCAGCGCCAGCACGGGGCGGCGCGCGCGCGTGTGTGTGTGTGTGTGTGTGTGTGTGTGTGTGTGTGTGTGTGTGTGTGTGTGTGTGTGTGTGTGTGTGTGTGTGTGTGTGTGTGTGTGAGTGTGAGGGACGTACACAGTATGCGGCCTCGAGCGCGGCCAGCAGCGCCACGAGCGGCGCGCGCGGGAAGCGCGGGTGCGGCTGCAGCGCCAGCACGGGGCGGCGCGCGCGCGCGTGTGTGTGTGTGTGTGTGTGTGTGTGTGTGTGTGTGTGTGTGTGTGTGTGTGTGTGTGTGTGTGTGTGTGTGTGTGTGTGTGTGTGTGTGTGTGTGTGTGTGTGTGAGGGACGTACACAGTATGCGGCCTCGAGCGCGGCCAGCAGCGCCACGAGCGGCGCGCGCGGGAAGCGCGGGTGCGGCTGCAGCGCCAGCACGGGGCGGCGCGCGCGCGTGTGTGTGTGTGTGTGTGTGTGTGTGTGTGTGTGTGTGTGTGTGTGTGTGTGTGTGTGTGTGTGTGTGTGTGTGTGTGTGTGTGTGTGTGTGTGTGTGTGAGTGTGAGGGACGTACACAGTATGCGGCCTCGAGCGCGGCCAGCAGCGCCACGAGCGGCGCGCGCGGGAAGCGCGGGTGCGGCTGCAGCGCCAGCACGGGGCGGCGCGCGCGCGTGTGTGTGTGTGTGTGTGTGTGTGTGTGTGTGTGTGTGTGTGTGTGTGTGTGTGTGTGTGTGTGGGTGAGTGTGAGGGACGTACACAGTATGCGGCCTCGAGCGCGGCCAGCAGCGCCACGAGCGGCGCGCGCGGGAAGCGCGGGTGCGGCTGCAGCGCCAGCACGGGGCGGCGCGCGCGCGTGTGTGTGTGTGTGTGTGTGTGTGTGTGTGTGTGTGTGTGTGTGTGTGTGTGTGTGTGTGTGTGTGGGTGAGTGTGAGGGACGTACACAGTATGCGGCCTCGAGCGCGGCCAGCAGCGCCACGAGCGGCGCGCGCGGGAAGCGCGGGTGCGGCTGCAGCGCCAGCACGGGGCGGCGCGCGCGCGTGTGTGTGTGTGTGTGTGTGTGTGTGTGTGTGTGTGTGTGTGTGTGTGTGTGTGTGTGTGTGTGGGTGAGTGTGAGGGACGTACACAGTATGCGGCCTCGAGCGCGGCCAGCAGCGCCACGAGCGGCGCGCGCGGGAAGCGCGGGTGCGGCTGCAGCGCCAGCACGGGGCGGCGCGCGCGCGTGTGTGTGTGTGTGTGTGTGTGTGTGTGTGTGTGTGTGTGTGTGTGTGTGTGTGTGTGTGTGTGTGTGTGTGTGTGTGTGGGTGAGTGTGAGGGACGTACACAGTATGCGGCCTCGAGCGCGGCCAGCAGCGCCACGAGCGGCGCGCGCGGGAAGCGCGGGTGCGGCTGCAGCGCCAGCACGGGGCGGCGCGCGCCGGCCTCCAGCGCGCGCTTCACTCCCGCGTAAGCCGCCTCGCTCACACTCCTACAACGAGAACGAGCATCCTTTTTTATCGCTTATTTGCTCGATTTCTTAAAGTATCCGACCGCTTGGCTCGGTTCGGTGGGAAGTTAGCTATCGAAGAGTGACCGAGGCATATCTTTTTGAAAGCTGTGTGAAATAATTTTAAACTTTATGTATGCACATAAACGACAAGTATCGCTTAAAAAATTTACACGGTGTCGCGAGCGGGCTGAATCGTACTCAAAAAAATAGTGTTTATAAAGTGTAGATTTCATAATTATTTTAAGACTTTCAGAGAAAAAGCGCTCGTCGCGTCGCGAATCGGCCCTTAGTCAGTCTCTATATCTTAAGCTGAATATTGCGTTATGTAATACGGCCTGCAGTCCGACCACTCCACTTCGGCAACTTCGGTACATTTATTACAAGCTATTCGTCCAATGTTCGGCAGAGGCATTAAATAAACATTGGAGCATCGACGCAATAACATAAATAGAAGTCTGTAATTTGAAGATAGCAAATGTTATTCATATAAGACATTAGCGTGCGCCCGCGACTTCGTCGACGTGGTTTAATAGGTTTTCCAAACAAATTTCCAACCCCGCTATTCACCCCCTTCAAGGATGAAAACTATCCTATATCCTTCCCCGGAACTAATTAACTAATACTAAATATGGTTTGACGTGAAGAGGTAACGGACAGACATACTTTCTTTTTGTTATAATATGAGTGTTTCGTATGGATGTCGGGATCGGTATAGTGGTTACCTGACATCGTCGTAGGGCGTCAGCGGGCCCGTGGGCGCCAGCACTAGCCGCGCGCCGCTCACGCGCTCGCACCGCACCACCGCGCACCGCTGCACAACCACAACCACAATCACGATCATACATACCATCATACATACATACCACTCCACTGACCGACTCACTCAAACGCGTGCCGGCACACGCTGCAAATCGCTCGTTCTCTATCAGAAAACGGTTTGTAATTAATCATTTTTGACCGGACATCTATCGTCTCTACGAAATCACGCAAAGACATTTTAGATCATGAATCTATTGTCATAACAAAAATAAAAAAGCTGATATGCGATTCTGAAGATGAAGATTTAAAAAGAGACAGTAGCGGGTCATACCGATGATCCGTTGATTGAAAAGCTCGATGGCGCGAGTTGAGCAACTGTCGTAATGGCCGGTCATTGGATGGGTGAACCAAAATTTACTTCTTCGCATGCGAAGCACGGACGAGCGCCATCGCGCGTCGAGCCGTCACTCCCGGCTGCATCTGCAGTCGTTAGCACCCACCGATCCGCACTAGGCCCGCAGGGTGAGTCATGGCCCAATCTCCCCATTCCATTCGTAGGAGATTCCTGTGCCCCGTGCAGTGGGGTCATCGATAGACTGACGACGATGATGAATTGAAAATAGAAAACTAGTACATGCCTATAATCTTTCAGACCGAGTTCTTACTTATAGGAATGTAATACCTAGAATTACAGACCGAGTTCTCACTTAGGTACACAGGGTGTTTATATAAATCGTTTTATAAAAAAGTAAACTGTCAATAAAGTTAGTTATGTCAGCCTGCGTTAGATGATTCATTTCGTAGTATAGTTTGATGTACGAGCATTTGGTCCATAACTCGCCGGATTTGAATAAGTGACAATAAAACAAATATTTGGTTATTGCAAGTCGTAAATATTATATAGATTTCAAAAAATAGAAGGGAAAATATTAGTTGTAAAATACAGATAATTATTTGACAGTTGGAAAAAAATATAACGGAAAATTATTTTGATTATACTACCTTTTCTCTATTATTCAAAGAGTATAACGGAAAATTATTTTGAATATACTCTCCTTTTCTCTATTATTCATACCATGGATATATGGATAGGTCAATGAGTAACGTAAAACTTTTAAAAATTGTTTAATAAATCAATTAGACTTTTACTAACAAAGTATTGATATTTCAGTCTCCTAATATAACTATCCTATGCTTTGGATATTTATTAAACAAGAGTTCTAGTTTTTCAAAGAAATACTCAAAATATCTTTTCTTTGTTGCTGTTGAGGTTCGATAGACACATAAAATAATTAAATTACACATCGGAACCTGTATGCAACAGCACTCGAAATGAAAATTTACTGCTAGAGCATCACCTAAACCAATATTTTTATAGGAAATCCCTGTTTTAATGAATATGCAGAGAAGTTTCTTGAGAAATGAGCTGCTAGTTCATAGTCATGCTCATGTAAATATTTTTTTCTTCACCACTTTTTATAAATGTTTCTGTGAAACACAAAACGTCAGGGGACAGATTATTTTTCAAATCTGTAAGTGGTGTCAATTCAATAATTTCTTTATTAGATGTGAGACCTTGAATATTTTTGTGGAAAATGACAAAACTTGGTTCCCTATTATCAACGAAAACATTTTGTTTTTATTTGTTCTGTAGCATTGGATTTTTTTAAAGTGAAGTAGTAAGGAATAGTTAAATATAATAGTTAATAGTTATTTGAATTGCTGTTTTTCTTTTTTAAGTTGCAAGAGTTATTTGATTTGAGTGTTTTTATTATTTGCAAAGTATCTCTTATCTATTGGACAAGTCCGTCCGTCTGTGGTGCTGTTTAAGCGGCCAAACCGTAAGAGATAGATAAAGAGAATATTTAAGTTATAAGTTAAGAATAGTCTGATAAGACTACAAACCGGATTTGAGTAACGTAGCACTTCCGGTTTTCGAGAAATCACGAATATCAAACGAAACCACACAAAATCTCCGAAGTTCTCAATTAATTAAATACATTTTTTTTTTTAAATCAGGTTTTGGTGAACATTTGGTTCATGGTTTGCTAGTTCCTAATACAATCTTGTTTGTATTTTATGAAATATATTACTACATTGATTTTAAAACATATATTGTTCCTAAATAAAATTTTATTGTAAAAAATATGGTGTAATAGCTGTTGTAATCTAATATTTTAGATAAGTACATTATCAACAGTGATTATCATTCAAGATAATGGGTTATCTGATATACAAACTATATTCTAGAAAGATAGTTTTATTGTAAGATAGTCTTTAAATAATATTAGGTTGGGGGAAAAGTTTCTTCACATTTTATATGAAAATTCAAAACATTTTTAATAAAGTTTATTTACATTTTACTAAAGTATGTAGGTGATATTGTATTCGGTAACTATTTGTCATCTTGTAGGTAGGGACATGATCCCATTGCTATAGAAATTTTGGGGTATCTGATAAAAAAACCGCGACGAGTGGTTTTAGCGGTCCTCTCGTGATGTTAACCAAACAAATTCAAGGCAATAATAAAATCATCCTGGGCATACGGCATTGAACTTTGCGGGAAGTATAAGCAAGTCTTGCTATATTCCAGAGGATGCAAAACATAATCCTCTGGAAAATAGCAAATGTACCGTGATTTATCACAAATTCCGAGATCCATGAACAGTTAAATATGACCACTGTGGGAGAGGAAACACAGACTCTGCCACAAATAAATATCGAAAGAAACTCCAAAATCACCCGAATAGATAAAATTGACTACTCGTGACTATGTAAAACGTCTAAAGAGAAGAGACATATTACCATAAAGTCATTCCGAAAATTATTAAGAGAAGATATCCTCAATGGAAGATACGCTTGACACGTCAGCAACCTTCATGACTAGCTGACCCAGCGAATTTCGTACCGCCATAATAATAGGGGCAGGTGGTAGAAGAGAAAATTTAAGGTTGTATGTATTTTTAGTACCACATAAAAAACTAAATATTGTCCAAAAAAATTTGGGGCTGTGTAACGCAGTGTTCTATCAATTTCCTGGGATAACATTCCTCCTAACCCATATGAGAACACTATGTTACAATACCCAATAGTTTGAATTTTGGTGCAAAGCTCGAAGGCGCATTGTAGGTTTCAGAACACTATGTTACAGGTGGACAACCATCATCACTTAAGGATATGAAAAATAGATAGTAGCCGATTGTCAGACCCACGGAATACGCATATAAAATTTCATAAAAATCGGTCAGGCCATTTCGGAGGAGTATGGTAACTATCATTGTGACACGAGAATTTTATGTATAAGATTTACCTCATCAATGCCTTTATCGATCAGTCTCAAATCTGCGACGAAGTCTTCGATGGCTTGTGGTGGAGTGACCCCCGGCGACAGAACCACAATGAGCGCATCCCAGCCCGCCGCACACACCTCCTTCACTTCGGCAACCTCCACCCCCTCCACTGACCACGGGCCACAGGCTACCTCTTCTTTGCTGTCACCCATGTTCAAACCTTTCATAGAAATTTTTTACAGATTATATTATTGATTACTCTTAAACCTTCTATGGGTCATAATGTATCATTAGAAAATTAATTCTAAACAAAACTTCTATATAATCCCAGGAGTGAGTCTATCGAAACCTTAACGCAAATGTCAAATTTTCCCCGAAGACTTAAGATGTCTCCAGGACTTCAGTAAAAATATAATACTTAAAACATGATAAAGACGCTTAGATTTAAGTTTATTGCCTATTAAAAAAAATTTCAAATACCAAGTGTAACAATAATTTATTATGTACTCTTAGTAACTAACTTTATATACTTACTTTATAACTTAACTTTTACTTTAAACAGACTTAAATAATTATTATGTATAAATTATGTGTGTGTGTGTATGTATATATATGTGAAATATGTTTTTTGTAATGCAAAATAGGAAAGCATGTGAGGTTTACCTCAAAAACACACGAGATCCCAATAGATTAATACTACAAGAAATACCAAAAACTATGCAGTTCAACAAAAATCCTATGTGTGAATTTTTTTAATAATATACACAATGACCTAAAGAAATTAAACACTAATCAATTTAAAACAAATGACTTATCAAAAATACTTTTTATGATATGAAGGAATTTTTCTATTTAAAACATTAATCTTAACCTAGTCCATTATTTAACAATTATGATATAACCTCATATGCATTATATATTTAATAATTAATATTCTAATTTTTAATCCTGTATGGCCAAATGCCAATTTGCATGCCATCCTATTAGCATAACATGCGTATCACTATGTCTTAACTTTACATCTGTAACTACTGTGTTTGATTGCAAATAAAGATTATTATTATAAGGAGAATGTAGGTACTTATAGCATAAACTTTAATAAATAGAATAGGTTTTTTTTTTGAAAAAACTGAACACATATTACAGTGGATTCAGGTATATCAACAATGAAGGGACCTCTCTTATTTCATAGGCATACCTGGAAGTTGTTATAAGCTAAGCTACAGTGGTACAGAGTATGCATGTATATTAATTCATTGTTCAAAATATTTTCCTTAGAGTTTAAACTTTTTTCGAATATCTCTGAAGTCATCCAGGCTTTTTTGTTTGCTTTGTTTTTTGCCTTACCTATGACTAACAGTTTTCTTATTTCCCCTGTCATACTTGATGTAACAAGCATGGTGATAACATCTTTTGATAATTTTCAATCTATGCCCTCTTCCCCTTTTAACTTAAAAAACAAACCTGTCTCGTCAGCGTTCCATATTTGGCTATCAGTGTAATCTTCAGTCAATTCTTTTTTGATCCTTTTGTCACAGTCACTTTGTGATATACTAACAGTAGCTTCTTCACAAACTTTGCCTACTGCAATATTGTTTCGTTGACGAAATCGGTATATCCAGCTTTGCGAACACAAAAATTCCTTTTTTCCAAACAATCTGGCAAAATGATTGGCCTTTTCTTGTAGCAAAGAACTGCTTAAAGGTATGTTTTGGCTTCTTTGGGCTTTTAACCACATTAGAAGGGCATTTTCTACATCTTGATGCATTGGGTTGCGGTTTCTCTTAATTTTAGAGGATTTGGATTCGAAGCATTTTAATATTTTATCACGGTTTTTCCACATTGAAGATATTGTTGAATGGGAAATTTTGTATTCTCTGCACAAATCAGCATTGTTTCCACCATTTTTCAATTTTGAAATGATTTCCACCTTTTCTTTAACAGAGAATGAGCGTCTAGCAGACATACTTATTTAAAAGTTTATTAAACCCAGTTGCTATTCAGAGAAGCACTTTGTAACTAAACCATAAATTTGACTCCCATACATACACACTTACCCACCTGCTTAGCTGATACCTATCAACAAAAGGGAAGGATGTCCACAGTTGGGCACCATGTGTGTGCATGTAAACAAAGGATAGAAAAAGTTTATGGAAGATTGAAATCTTTGTATCTTCAGCCGGCAACTCTGGAGTGCAATATCTGCCTGGAATTTGTAGGTAGTTTTTACAAAAGATTCAAAACAGTTCCTACACCTTAACTCAGCCTTTACATCCAGTCGCTTTGGTCGCTATAGCTAAATGGTAGCAACAACCAAGGGCGTAATAAATGAAATCAACTGTCCTTGTGAATTTAATTAACAATTCCATTTATAGTAACCACAGTTCTGTTCGTTGATAGTAACAGTTAATGATTTTAGTGACTATTTACTTATTTTATATTAATATTATAACTAAATTAAGGTGAGAAATTATTTGAAGTACACAATTATTTACTATTTGATGCCGGATTGTTGATCTCTCTCAGTGTCAGCAAATGCGACTGACGATTTATTCTCTGTAATCTGTGCTGACGACTGACTGATAAAGGTATTAAAGTGGAAAAATATATCGCACAGGAATACATACAGCGAACCAGGTGAACGTCGTCCGATCAGACTAGAAATTGTACTTAAACTGAACAAGAAGGCGAATTATCTAAAAACTTTCGCTAAAACGCTAACTTTGACAGATTCAAACTGTCCACAGATTACTAAGATTTGCTACGTAAACTTTAGCCACAGTCACACACTTTGGAAATGTTACGATGACATATAAATAATTAGATGATAAGTAAAATTTTAGAAGACGTAAAATAAACATAATAGCTTCTTTAACTAACGTGCAATAATAGCAGTCCAACTCTATACAAAACAGTTTCGCTATGTTGGCTAGGGATGCGCCGATCCGATCCGATCCTTTGATAGATCGGATCGGAAGGCATACGATCCGGTAATTTTCGGATCGGATCGAGGCCATACGATTTTATTCCGGATTGTTACAAAACTTGAAAGATCGGATCGCATGGATCGTATGAATTAAAACGCGGTTTGTTTACAATAAATTAGGTAGGTAATTACTAAGATTTCATTGGTTTACATTTTAATTTGGCGGCATTTTTTGCAGGTGGATCCGTTAATCTTATACATTATATTATTATAAACAAAAGTTGTGGGTAAATTTATATATATAACACTAAATCTATTTCTTGCTAACAGTTTGTCTATAAAGTCGTGACATGAATGTTTGAGGAACTAACATTATTCATGTGTCTGGTAACACCAAACTTATGTACATCAGCTGTCATCGAGTTTCAGTTGTGAAACAGTTTTCCTTTTGTATTTTATATTGTTTGGATTAAACTGTAATAAATTAAGACGAAACTACACAGAAAGGTATAAAAATGAGTAAAATAAATCGGAGTGGCACGCGAGAAGTGATTTTTAAAGTTTTCCAGCGATAATCGTGTAACTATTTGTTTGTAATCTGCCTGAAGTTACAAATTTACTCAATTTACGATTTTGAGACCAAAAAAGGCATTGTTTACATTACACATTTTAGGTTAGATTGACAATGGTGTCAATTCTGGCGTGATTCTCTAAACTTAAAACTAAATTTAAGGTCAGTCTCACCTTTTCATTCTGTATAGAGAAGGACAAGGATGCACTGTTGTCAAATTTTAGTTTAGCTTTAGAGAATCATGCCAGAATCGACATCATTGTAAATAGGCAATATTGTAGTACGACCATTTCTTTTGATACGTTTTTATGGTTCAACTCGATCAGGTTTTCTACCAATTTGGAATTAATTGCTTCTTGTCAATAAGTTATTGTTTCTATTCCATTACATATTTTTTTTCCTTATTTTCAGGAAAATCAGAGAGTCGGGTAGTCAACGAAGGTTTTAAGATTGATGGAAAGTTTAAAACTCCTGGGAAAACAGGCAAGGCCGACCAAAGAAAGAAATGGTCACATAAAGAACCATGGCTAGATGCTTTTAGTGAAGATACCTATCACTAATTTTACTAACTGCAGATTTAAAAATGGTTTCTCTTAATAAACTTTTTATATACTATAAAATGATTTTTAGTATTATTTTCTTAACAAGTGTGTTAAAAAACGTCGTATGATGATACTTGTGTGTATTGATGATTACCTAACGGCTCTGGTCTCAATGGCACCTCAGCGGTAATCACCAACATTACACATTTTTACACTATAAAGTACTATTTTATCTATAATAATTTTATTCTGATTCAATTAAATATGCTTGGCTAAACTTTTTATAAGCATACGTACCTACTATATAGAAAACAGAAACAAAATACGACTATATACACTATAGTCTTATTAATTACCTATTTTACTTGAATGGACTGCTAGTATCAAAATCATTTTGGTTAGACTGTATATGGTTGTTACATGCATACTAGTGGCGCCATTATTTAATGTCACGACTTTATAGCGAAACTGTAAGTCACCTATTTCTTGCACAAACAACATAAGTCAAGAATAGATTTTTATTGCTTTTTCATTATTATTATTTAAGAACAGTTCTTGGACATTTGAATTTTTTACAACTCAAATCCTAAATTAAGCGTTAAAAATTCCTATTAAACTCGATTGTTTGAGCATAAACCAATTTTTATTAATTCCTGAAAAACTCTAATAGTGTGGCTTAAGAGGTTTTTGAAATGACTGCTTTAATTGTACTTTAACTATTAGTAAGTAGTTGGGCGCATTTCGTCGAAGTTTAAATTTTTCATAAATAACTACTATTTTTTTAAGTTATCTGTGTACTTAAATTACTATTTCACATTGTGTTTCTTTCAAAACTAAGTAGTTGTTAGTTTATAAGTTTAAATAGAGCAATCTTGTTTGTTCATAAGTTTTGAAGACTTTGAAGGGTTTACCAAATAAAAATTTAAAATTAATTGTCTTACTTATTTGTATCCGATCCGAGCCGATTTCTTGAAGATCGGGTCGACGGCATGCGATCCGATCCGCGGATCGGATCATGGCATTACGATCCGAAAAATTGGATCGACGACCCGGATCGCACATCCCTAATGTTGGCAACATATTTCGTCACGTGAGACGTGTGCCTTGTCCGCCATATTGTGACGCTGCTAAGTATGGTGAAAACATTGACTTCGCTGTTAAAAAAGGTAATTTATAAAATCAAATAACCCGACTGCTTAAATACTACTTCAAATAAAAACTAAAAAAAAGGACAAGTCCAGTAGTCTGTAATTCTGCTAAGTAAGGAGGAACAAAGCTACTTTAACAGTTGGGATTAGGGTTGCCACCCGTACTTTTATTATAAAGTATTGTACGGTATTTAGGGTAATTGTACTCTATACTTTATGCCAACAATAAAATAGAAAAAATACTTTATTTAATGTGATTTGAGATAATTTTAAGATAATACTCGCGGATTAATTTTACATAAAATACCAGAAAGAGGTTGATAGGAAGAATTTTTACGTAAAGCGGACAGAAAGTATGAATATGTTGCCCTTAGCTAATTCCTGCAACATTTTCGTGGCTGTATGCTTTTGTATCATGACCTTTCGCATTGCGGAAACAAACTACAGTAGCCGCAAATTATTTGATAAAAGTTGATAGTAGTAACGTAAAATATATATTTTAAGCTTACTTTTTTATAATTGTAGAAATAAAAGTTTGTACGTGCGTGATACAAGAGTTTGTATGTACGAGTAATCGTACAGTTTAGGTTATAAATAATATGTTCCAATTTAGGTCACGTAGAAACAAGTCATTTACTCGCGGTATTTCGCAATATGCTTAAACTACTATTTTATAATATTGAATTTACATGCAAATAAACAGTGTTAGAACAACTATCATTGGGTTTGTGTCGTACATTAAGTTTCCCTTACAATTATCTGACACTCTTTTCATATACTGTAGACACACTACAGTTTTTTTGATCTTTCGATAAAAAACAGTGAATAATATCTGTGGATTTCCATCGTCATTTGGGAACTACTACTACAATAGCAGTGAGTTACATAATTATGTGTGCTTTTTGGATTACGTGCGACTGCGAATCGGTTGGCTGGTCTCCTAGAAGCGGGTCTCACCAGCTTAATTGAGAAGGCGCAACAAGGTCGTGCGAGATTCGCACATGGGCACAGACATCACTGCTATCTACATAGAACAGTTATTCTCTCGTCGACATTCGGGAGGCTGCTACATTACAATGGAGAGTCTACTTCAGTGTCAGAGCGAAATAATTGAAGAAATCAAACGGATTGAAACAAACTTCAAAAAGGATTCCGCTAACAGGAAGACCCGTAAGTACCTGAATGAATGCCTAGATACCCCGGATAAATTGTGGCTGAGTTTCAGCTAAACAACAATAAGTTATCCAACTATGAAAATGACACCGATCCATACTACAAAGAAAACCAATTTCAGCAAACTAGAATATACTTTGATTCTGTGCGAATCCAGGTATCGACGTTTATTCCAGCACAGGAAGTTACAACACCAAATTCACCTGCAATGGTATCACTGCCTTACTACCACCCTACCCCTACCACCACAACCAGCCATGGTGGCAGGACCATCCAAGCAAGATCGAGTTCAGATAGCCGAGCAACTATCACTATAAAGAACCAACTTCAGAGCTTTCTACCGACTAGTGAATAGCTTACAAGTTGACGACAAGCGTGATAAGTGGGAACTGGAAGATGAGCTACGTAACCTACAAACACGATGGAATGTAATCGACGCTTTACATTTGGAAATCGATTATATTCTTCAAAGATCGGATACACATTATGTTAGGATGCAATATTTGTTTATGGTTAAGTTTGAAGTGAGTGAAAAATAAATGAGTTGTCACAGCGACACTGAAATTACAAGATAAAAAAAAAAAAAAAAAAAAAAAAAAAAACCGTACCCCCCCCTGGAGAGTGGCCTTTATCGTGGCTCGTGTTGCAGCCTCCCAGACGCTACGGGAGATAGGGATAGGTCCCCCCAGGCAGAGCACCGCCGGCCGAATACCCGGTCGAGGGGGAGGAAAAGGGACATCGAGGGAAGGCTGTGGCAGGATGGGGGGATGGAAACGGAGCCCGCATCCACGGAGGCCGAGCCAGATATGTGTGTGGCGTCTGCGGCCCCCAAGGTGCCCAGATATAAGAACAACCCCCGGGGAGGAATGGGAGCTCATCACGTCGGCACATCTCGGGCCCGCCGGGAGTTGAAAGAGATGCAGTCGGATTCTGACTCCGACGCGTTGTTCTCGTGTGGAAGCCCCCCGCGGCGCCGGTCTTCCAAGGCGTCGAGTGATGGGAGCTTCAGGACCATGCATTCTGCAGAATCCCTCTATGCAAAGGCGGAGCAGAGTGCGGGCGCTGTCCTGAGAGTTGTCCAGAAATCTGGCAACCTCAAGGGAACGTGCGCCCGGGACATTAGGGAGGGGACGAACAGCCTCCTGGAAATCGTCAAGGAGATCTCGACGCGCACGTCCTCGTCCGAGGTGAGGAGATTAAGGGCCGACAATAAAAGGCTTAAAGGGCAAATTAACGCCTGCATGGAGGAACTGCAGGGACTGAAGCGGTTCCTGGCAGAGCGGGGGCACCAGCTAGAGCCCGCTGAAAAAGAGAAGCCGCTGGAAGCGGAATCGAACGGAGTCTCCAGGGCTGAATTTATACAGGCCATGGAGAGCATGCAGCGCGATTTGCTCCGGCATGTAGGCGCCGTAGTCTCGGC